TCTTTCATTCTCACCACGCACACGCACGCACACACACTCACACGCACGCACGCACGCACGCGCGCGCACGCACACACACACACACACACACACACACACACACACACATAAACATACGAGCGCGCGCGGGTGCGCTTCTCTTTCCCTCCCTCTCTCTCCTCCCTCTCCCCCTTCTCTCTACATCTCCTCTCCGATTCTCTCCACCTCTCTGCGCCCCGCGGGGAGTATTGCGCGCATAAATATTTAATGGTCCGCCATCGCATTCAATCGGCCTCGATCAACAAGCGCCGATTCGCCAAATATTGGCGCATTTAATGGCTTCCCGCAGAACAAACAGCTCGTTTTTCCTCGCGCGATACACGCGTCGTATTTTACGTGCGCGAGCTCCCACGGACGTGCGAGCTTACATACTCAGTAACTGTGACTGACTCAGTCACGTAAGACGACGCAGCAACCCGTCTCGCAAGACAGGCGAGAGAAGAAGAAGAGAGAGAGAGAGAGAGGTTGAGAGAGAGAGAGGTTGAGAGAGAGAGAGAGAGAGAGAGAGAGAGAGAGAGAGAGAGAGAGAGAGTAGAGAGAGAGAGAGAGTAGAGAGAGAGAGAGAGAGAGAGAGAGAGAGAGAGAGAGAGAGAGAGAGAGTAGAGAGAGAGAGAGAGAGAGAGAGAGAGAGAGAGAGAGAGAGAGAGAGTGGAGGGAGAGGGTTGAGCGAGAGGGAGTGGAGAGAGAAAGGGGAGGTGGGGAAGGGTAGAGAGAGAGAGAAAGAAGAGAAAGGAGAAAGAGAGAAAGAAAGAGAGAAAGCAGAGAGAGAGAGAGATGGAGAAGAGGGTTGAGCGAGAGGGGGTAAGAGAGAGGGGAGTGGAGAGAAAGGGGGTGGGAAGAGAGGGAGAGAGATGAAAGGAGACGAGAGAAAAAGGGTCGAGGTGAGTGAGAGAGAGAGAGAGAGGAGAGGGTGAGAGGGGTAGAGAGGGGGAGAGCGAGAGAGGAGAGCGGCAGGAATAATGGCGCAATATTGCAGTGGAAATGCAGCCGTCATAATAGGGCGATGACAGCTGAGAAACGTGGCTGATTGTTCGATTATGACGTCGACGATGATCGATGACTGTGATGAAGAGAATGATGACACGATAATCGGTGGTAATAATTAATATTATTATTACTGATCTATTATTATTGTTGTTATTTATTATTATTATTGATTATAAATTAGTTATTATGGATGGTGTGATGGCTGATGACCGGTTACTATTGCTTACTTCTGTTGATGCTGTTGCTGTTTGCTGCTGATAAGTGCTACTGCTGCTGCTGATGATGTGATACTGAACGCATGGTTATGACCGCGAATATAGCAATAACGACACAATGTTGGCTATTAATGACAACTACTGACGCGTTTTGGGCATCATACGCGCTGGATTCATTCAACCAATGAATGATGAATGAAGAACAGGAAGCTTGGTGTACAAGGGGCGAAAGTGAACGCCATAATATACACAAAGCAGGCACGAAGCTGGACGGAGGCTGTGTGCAATGCCGCCTAAATTCAGTAATTTGTTTTGTCAAAACGGGCGGCAAAATGCATCAAAACCATCATTGTGCGTACGATGGTGTGGTGTGTCCTGTGCTGGTGTGTGTATGCGTGTGTGTGTGTATGTATGTGTGTGTATGTGTGTGTGTGTGTGTGTGCGCGTGTGCGTGCGTGTGCGTATGCGTACGTGCGCGCGCGCGTGTGTGCATGTGTGCGTGCGTGCGTGCGTGTGTGTGTGTGCGTGTGTGCGCGTGTGCGTGCGTGTGCGTATGCGTACGTGCGTGCGCGCATGTGTGCATGTGTGCGTGCGTGCGTGCGTGCGTGCTGTGCGTGCGTGCGTGCGTGCGTGCGTGCGTGCGTGCGTGTGATTACGTCGCCGTTTCCGACGGCTCCGCATCTCCTAGCCATCGTAACGATGGAACACCCGGCGGGCTGTTGTCTTCGCGTTACGACATGAGCGAGTCTTACGAGGCCAACCTTCGGTCGTCGGTTGACGTATCCGAATGTCGTCGACTCGACATGTCGTTTCTGCCACGCCCCCCTGTCACTACTACAGACCGCTCCGCTTTTAAAATGCAGTTAGAATGACAGAAATTAAAGTTTAGCATTGCAGTTCGAAATTAAAGTTTAGAATGACAGATTGGTGCGCGTGTGTGTCATTGTGTACGTGGCCGGCCGCGCGAATGTCATGCGGAGGTGCCATCAATCAGGTGAGGCTAGTCAGGTGAGGCTAGTCAGGTGATGCTAGTCAGGTGAGACTAATCAGGTGAGGCTCCACAGGTGAGGCTCCACAGGTGAGGCTAGTCAGGTGAGGCTAATCAGGTGAGGCTAGTCAGGTGAGGCTAATCAGGTGAGACTAGTCANTCCTCCTCTCTCTCTCTCTCCTCTCTCTCTCTTTCTTTCTTTTTTTTACCTCTCTTTCTCTTTCTCTTTTACTTTCGTCCCCCCCTCCCTTCTCTCTCCCTCTCCCCCCTCTCCCTTTCTCCCTCTTATCTTTTACTTTCAGCATGACTCATGCCGTTATATTGCGCTGACCATATTTCCCATTATTGCAATGATGAACAGCGACAGGTAATTTTACGGACTAAATCTTGTTTAGCCGTCCGTGTATCGCGCGCGGGGGGTAATGCATAAAATATATACCGCGCAGCAACATCGAGCTGAAATGAAGAAGACGCGAATACGCGGTGTATCAACCACGTACGTCCGGGCACTACCCAGCAGGCCAGGCAGGCAGTCGACAGTCAGGCCAGGCAGGCAGGCAGGAGGCAGGCAGGCAGGTAGCAGCAGCAGGCAAGCAGGCAGGTAGGTAGGCGACAGGCTAGGTCAGGCAGTGCAGGCAGCAGGGCAGGTGCAGGCAGGGCAGGCAGGCCATGGCAGGCAGGCAGGTAGGTAGGCAGGTCAGGCAACGTAGGCCAGGTAGGGCAGAACAGGCATGGCAGGCAAGTAAGGTAGGACAGGCAGGGAGCAGGTAAGCAGTCAGGTAGGTAACATGATTCAAGGCAAGCAGGCAGGCAGTCAGGCAGCAGGGAGCAGCCAGGCCATGCAGCGCAATGGGCAGTAGGCCAGGCAGGCAGCAGGTAGGAAGTAGGCAGGAAGGATCTAGCAGGGGAGATAAAAACCATGCTCAGGCCAGGCGCAAGTCGGGAATCATCGTGTGAGAGCAGGCAGGATCGCTGCAAATTTCCCACTATCTATTTTGAATTATATATTGAATGAGTGAAGGCCATTTCGGATCATACCCATTACGGGCACTGATTCCGATTTAATCCTGATCAGCGCGCTACCGGCGATGCGAGTGAGTCCACTGGTGCATCGAGATGACGTATGACAGAGCGCGCGATGACGTCACGCGGCAGAAAATCACAGGCAGATGGCGCTGCGCAATAGCATGTTGTGTGTAGCGCGCCACGCGCGCGCGCCGCCGGTGTGTGTGTGTTGTGTGTGTGTTGTGTGTGTGTGTGTGTGTGTGTGTGTGGTGTGGTGCTGTGTGTGTGTGTTTAGTGTATGTGTGTGTGTGTGTGTGTGTGCGTGGCGTGCGTGGTGGGTGCGTGGCGTGCAGTGCGTGTATGTGTGGTGTGTTCCATTATTCATAAATAATAGAAAATATATATATGCACAAACACTATATCTATACACAATGCTTCACTTCAACGCTGCACTTCTATTACTCGTGACTTTTAAAACAGGCTAGGAGGGCCACCATAGTGCGACACAATGCGCTTTGATGTCGTGAAATGAACGCGGCGGGCTAACGCATGCAAAAGAGACCCGCAATTCTCGCAGAACTGTCACCCGTGTCGCATAGTTTGACGCAAGTTACCCAAGGTCGCAAAGGACGGGTGTCAGTCTAGTCGCTCTCCAACACGCATTTAAGCATTCAATTACTACTAACTGCGCGCTACGCTGCCGGCCGCGCTTGCTGGCTGTTGCTGGCTACTTACTCGTACTGCTAGGGCTGCTACTGCCGCCGCTGCTGGGCTGCTACTGCCGCCGCTGCTGCTGTTTCTGCTGGCCGGCTGGCGGCTGTTGCTCTGCTATAACTCGTACTGCTGCCTGCTACCTGAGTTGGCTGCTGGTAACTACTCCGTACTGCTGCGGCTGACTGTTGCTGCATGACGCAGCACACAGCGCGCAGCAGACGCTCCCTGCCATCACAGAGCACGCATTCGGAGATCACGCATACCGCACACGCGTACGAGGTTATGCTGTCGAGCGTGGCTTACGAGGTTATGCCGCCGAAGTGTGCTTACGTAGGTTATGGCCGCAGAGCAGTGTCACTTACGGACGATTCTGGCCGCGCGAAACGCCCACCGGCGTGCCGCTTCCCTAATCCCGTCTATGGTTGCATACGACGTTGTGTCGACTATCCGGGCGTGCGGGATGGAGAATTATGAGACGGGGACTTCTAATAGCTATGATGGAAGGAGCCTGCGCTGCTGGTGCTGCACACAGAGTCTCCCGCTACCAATCACTGCGTGGCCATCTGAAAGCAGAAACAGTCTAGTGAGAATACGCCCGAGAGACGAGAGAGAGGGAGAGAGAGGAGAGAGAGAGAGAGCGGCGAGAGAGAGAGAGAGAGAGCAGAGAGACAGAGAGACTAGTGAAGATCATGAGAGACAGAGAGACAGCGAAGAGAGAGAGAATGCGAGAGAGAGAGAGAGAGATGAGAGAGAGAGAGAGAGAGAGACGAGAGAGAGAGAGAGAACAGACAGATCAGAGCAGACAGACAGACAGACAGCACGGACAGAACATGAAGACGCCGGCAATGCTTACATTAACAATTACGCATATGAGCGTCTCAGCACCCCTGCCGCCGCTCCCGGCTCGGCCCACAGAACACTTAACAACCACATCTAGACACAAATTGAAGATGCGGCGATATTGGGCTGCGGTGTTACGCACACCCTAGAGATGGCGCCAATGCCACCCACGCAGAGAGGCACGAGCGCACATGCGCCGCCATAGAACCACGTTCATTATTCAGGCTCTCTTCGTTCAATACCGATTTATATTCTATATATATCATATATATATATATATATATAATATTAATACATATATATATATATATATATATATATGTGTATATAATGGAACGCCGGCTGTGCAAACGCTGCTTCAGAATTCGAGAATCTGAGGGATTCGTTGTCGCTAGGATAAACATGACGACTGCAACGCGAGAAGCCCTAGCGGCCGGCTGCAGCTGATGAATCACTGTTTGGTCGGCGAGACTGCCCCCGACGTCGCTCGCTGCCCGTGCCTCGCGCGACTACTGAGCGAACGGCGGCGGCAGTCTAGCTATCCATTCAATTATTGCTATGCGAAAATATCGGGACAGCGGGATGTAAGCCTGTTTAGTGAGTGAGTGAGTGAGTGAGTGAGTGAGTGAGTGAGTGAGTGAGTGAGAGAGCGAGCGAGTAGTGATTGATTGATTGATTAATTAATTTATTGAGTGATGGATGATTTGATTGATTGAGTGAGAGAGTAAGTGAATGAGGGAGTGAGTGGGTGAGCGAGTGAGTGGGTGAATAAATGAGTGAGTGAGTGAGTGAGTGAGTGACCGAGTGAAGCACGCACGCATGCACGCACGCCCGCACGCACGCACGCACGCACGCACGCACGCACGCACGCACAGCCGCGGGCGCACTGGTGGGCACGCTTTTCTGTCGTGGAAGGTAGTCTCGTTGAGGTTAGCCTCATACGATATACTGCGCTCGTCGACTGTAGATGGCGCCACGACCTACAATACTACGCTACTCCGTATATTGCAGATACGTTGTTACATTCCATTGTGCGAGCGAGCGTATCGTTAGGGTCCGGTTTAGGGTGTTTGGTATGAGGGTTAGTGTTACGATGAAAGTTCAGGCAAAATTCAGAGTTAAGGTTATGATGAGAGTTGATGTTTTGAAGTATAAATATTTCCTATAGACTAAGACAGAGGGGGCGAAACCTCGTACGCGCACGAGAAAGATAGAGAGGAAAGAGAAAAGAGGCAGAGAAGAGAGATGAGAGAGAGGGGAAGGAAGAGAGAGAGAGAGGACGCGAAAACAGGCGAAAGAGAGAGCGAGAGACAGAGAGAGAGAGGAGAGAGGGAGGACACGAGATCGAGAGCGGGAGAGAAAGAAAGAAAGAGAGAGAGGGAGAGAGCGGGATATATATATATATATATCGAAAGGGACGCGAAAACGAGCGAGAGAGAGAGAGAGAGAGAGAGAGAGAGAGAGAGAGAGAGAGAGAGAGAGAGAGAGAGAGGAAGAGAGAGACGAGAGAGCAGAGAGAGAGGAGGAGAGAGAGAGAGAGAGAGAGAGAGCAAGAGACGAGAGAGAGAGAGAGAGAGAGAGAGAAGAGGAGATAGAGAGAGAGAAGAGAGAGAGAGGAGAGGAGAGAGCAAGAAGAGAGGAGAGAGAGAGAGAGGAGAGAGAGAGAGAGAGAGAGAGAGAGAGAGAGAAGAAGAGGAGGCAAGAGAGAGAGAGAGAGACAGAGAGAGAGAGAGAAGAGAGAGAGCCGCCAGAGAGAGAAGAGCAGAGAGAGAGAGAGAGAGAAGGAGATTGGGGTGCGGGGTGAAAGAGAGAGAGAAGAGAGAGAGAGAAGAGAGAAGAGAGAGAGAGAAAGAAGAGAGAGAGAGAGAGGAGGAGAAGAGAGAGAGAGAGAAAGAAGAGAGAGAGAGAGAGAAGGAGAGAGAAGAGAGCAGAGAGAGAGAGAAGAGAGAAGAGGAGGAGCTAAAAGAGAGAGTAGAGAGAGAGAGAGAGAGAGAAAGAGAGAAGAGAGAGAGGACGGAGAGAGAGAGAGAGAGAGAGAAGAAGAGAGTAGAGAGAGAGAAGAGAGAGAGAGATGAGAGAGAGAGAGAGAGAGAGAGAGAGAGAGAGAGAGAGAGAGAGAGAGAGATAGAGAGAGAAGAGAGCAAGAGAGAGAGGAAGAGAGAGGAGAGAGAGAGAGAGAGGGGCGCGCGCAACCGTATATAAGAAGTTGGAGAGTAATAGCGTGAGTAATAAAGGGAAACGCTATAACATACACTACAGTAGGCTAGGCTTTACTTTTCCCTACAATCATAAGCCGATATTACAAACTGCACGTATCAGGCACTCGATCTACACTGAGTTTGCCAGGCGGAGTATGCTTAAGCCGTGGCTGCATGCTAAGTCTTCCATTGAGCCCATCCCCCAATGTCCCTTGCCAACGCGCCCCCTGCCCCCACCACCCGCCACCCCGCGCAATCGACTGCAAGGGCCACGGCCAGGCGAAATATAATGCGGCTTCGGCTAGGAGAGCCTATATAATCGGCAGTGTGCGTACTAGTTCGATGACAAAGGGCCAGCTTGTTGTAGTTTACGGCGAACGCAACACGCAGTACGCACGCGCGGCACACACATAGTCTACAGCACCTGCGCTGACCAAGACTATACCTCTATACTGACTGACATATTATGTACCGCGAATGCGTTATGTCAACTAGAACTAGGACGGCGAATATTTTTACGCCTCGTTTTCAATTTCATGGTGGGCAGCTGGAGCGGGGCGAAGTAGATATAGGTGGATAGAGGGCCTCTCCCTCCCTCCCTCTCCCCTCCATCTCTCCCTCGCATTCACCCATCTCTCCCTCCTCCCTCCTCTCCTCTCTCGCTCGCTCTCATCCCCCCCTCTCGTCATCGCCAAGCGCGTTCTCTCTCTCTTTCAATCCTTTCTAGCGCTGTCTGTCTCTGCTGCTGCTCGCTATCTCCCTATTGCTATATCCGCTCCTCACCCTTACTGTCTCCATCTCTCCTTCTTCCTCCTCCATATCCACTCTGGCCCTACTCTCTCTTTTTGCCTTCCCTCCCTGCTTCACTCTCTCTCTCTCTCTCGTCTCCTCGTCTTCTCTCTCATCGCTACTCTCTATCTCTCTGCTCTCTCTCTCTTCTTCACAGCACACACAGCACGGCACGCACGCACGCACGCAACGCAGCCCACCAGCACGCACGCACGCACGCACGCAGCACACACCACACACACACACACCAGAGGCACGCACGCACGCACGCACACACCACACACGATCACCACACACACGACACACGCGCACACAACGGACGCACGCACACGTAGCACACACACACGGCAGCGCCACGCACGCAACGGCACGCCGCACCACACACGCACACACACACACACACACACACACACACACACACACAGTGGACGTAGCGTCTGGCTGTACAGGCAGAAGGATACATCTCCGCTAGGTGGTCGTGACGTCACGCGTCAGCAGCCGCGACGACACGGGAGAGGGACCGCGTAAGCCGTTCGCTCACTCACTCACTCACTCAGCATCCACGCACGCGTTGCCATGGGCCCCGCAGTCTGCGGTGACCCCGCGCGCCACATCATCCTCCGCCGCGATTGGCAGGCGACAGTGTGTGTGCTCGCTCGTGCGGGGGCGAGAGAATGCGAACAAATCCAATAAAATATTAATCGACTGCAAATTCCGCCGTAAATCCATATATGTGTGCGGGCTGGCGTGCGCGCGTGCGTGCGCGAGTGAGTGTGAGTGCGGGCGTTGCGTGCTTGTGCCCGGTCGCTGCCGCTTGCAGCCAAGCCAGACAGGGCGTCGCTACTGGGTCGATCATGCTGCCACCTGCTTGTAGCGGGTGGGGACTGATGCTGCCACCTGGTTGTAGTGATAGCTAGGGACTTTTGCGGATCTATGGTTATAAGAGGGTGTGGCTAATACCCCCCTCTTCAATCTGCGACGTAGAAGATAGGTTGCCGCCTGCTGCTGCTGCTGACGCCGTTGCCGCATCCGCTGCTGTTGCTGCTGCTGCCTGCTGTTTGTGTTGTTGTTGCTTGTTGCTGTGTTGTGCTCGCCTGTGGAAAATAAGTGCATGGACGGCACAGAAGTAGGGTAAGAGTCATGGCCGCGCCCGCCGACAAACAAAGCGCGCGCATGCGCATCACGCGTCTGCGCACGTGCGCGAGCAGGGATGCGGCGTCGCCACGGCAACGCAACTACGCGGCCACACAGCGGCGAGGCGCGGGGGGTGAAGGAGACGCGATTGGGGGAAGCAGGGTGAGGAGGACGAGGGGGAGCAAGCTAGGCCGACATTGGAAGCGGGATTGGAGACGGATTTGTGGGAGCAGGAGAGGAGGACGGATGGGGTGCGGGAAGCAGGGAGGAGATGAGGTTGTTATGAGGTGAGGCGGTGAACAGAGAAGGGAGAAGCCATAACGTCACACATCCTGTCACTTTCGCGCCTTCCCTCCTTGCCTCTGCTATTATAATTTATAAATATATATATTAATATACAGAGAGATAATAGGGATCTAACTTCCCTATTATGCTACTTCTGATATATATATCTCATTTTTGCCCTCTGGTATATCCACGAGCCGTGGTTTTAAATTCGCTGGTCGAGTAAACCCGTTTAGAAAACTCACTCTCTGTTTAACGCACATGATTAGCCACGCGTGCACCGCAGGGCACCCTTCTGCCAACTGCCGCAGTAACTGCTGAAGGGTGCGTTGTAAGTATTAGGTACTAACGCTAATATGACCCGAGGTACATAGATATGTATACACAAAGTGTACAGACGTAACTATAATGTGACGGTGTATAATGTGACTATAGCTGTGACTATAATTGTGACTATATGTGACTATACCTGGAGTGACGGTGGTATAATGTGAGCTATAGCTGTGACTATAATTGCTGACTATAATGTGACTATACTGTGACTATAATGTGACACTATAGCTGTGACTATAATGTGACTATATAGCTGTGACTATACTGTGACTATAATGTGACTATAGCTGTGACTATAATGTGACTATAATGTGACTATACTGTGACTATAATGTGACTATATAGCTGTGACTATACTGTGACTATAATGTGACTATATAGCTGTGACTATACTGTGACTATAATGTGACTATAGATGTGACTATACTGTGACGGTGTATAATGTGACTATAGCTGTGACTATACTGTGACTATAACGTGACTATAAACGTGACTATAGCTGTGACTATAATGTGTCGGGCTGGTCTATAGCAAGGAGCTAAATATAACAAGGAGAGGAAGCGGATTGGCTGTGTGCTTTCGCCTCAAGGACGCCACCATCTATGGAACCAAATGCAAGTTGAAAAGCGACGCTGTGCAGACGCCAGAACCCAGAGGACAATAGAAGCACTAAATGCTGTTCTAGGCCAATATGACCAAATATGGGCAAACGATTTTTTGGGCGCAGAATTAATTGGGGCGGGCGCTTCCTCTCTTTGTTATATGTAGCTGGCCTTGGTCTAATAGGAGGGGTACAACAGTAAGCCTCCGCAATTGGTTCACGCGTTGCACTATTATCGTCTCTAAAAAATGCTTTTTTGGCATTTCTTTTCGCTGAAATTAGACACTGATTGCAATAATATTTGCATTATCAGCGACAAGCTAGATGCGCCGCCGTGGATCCGTCTAGAAAGGGCATTAGAAGTAAAAATTGGTCCTTGTTGTGTAAGCTCGTGAGCATCGTCAGGTGGCGTAGCGCGCAGCGACCGGCTGGTGATATTTTTGTGTATGATAATGTGGGTTCAGACAACTTTGGGCAGAAATTCGCGTCATAGAGCTGGCAAAAGTTTTGAGCGGAGCATAGCAGCCTGAATCTGTATAGTTTATTATAACCATGAAATAAAGTGTATGTTTGTGTAAGCGCAGTAAGCAGTGTGAGTATTTTTAATTAATTTTCTGTTCGACTAGCTTATTCAGGCCTGCCGCCTATTGGACGTCCTCTACTAATTGTTCAAACACCCTTTATTTAGCTCCTTGGTCTATAGTAGTCGCTGCTGTGTGTGAGCATGACTGATGACGGCAGGCCGAATACGCGTGCCTTGCGGCGGGGGATAGCTGTTAATTATTCAGGCGTAATTAAGTCGACTGTGAGCTAATAAAGAGAACAGATGTCATGACGCGGCACGGGCCGGCGCGAACAAAGCAAAATTAGGCATGGGCAGCTATATATATGTAATGAGTCAATCGGCGGGTGTGTGTGCGCGTGTGTGCGTGCTGCGTGGGCGTGCGTGTATGTGTGTGTATGTAATGTGTGTATGTTCTCGCCTGCTCGTCACCCTCCGGCCGCTGTCTTCGCCCTTCTCCCCTGCCTCGTCACACCCTCTCACCTGCCTTCGCCGCTTCTCCCTGCGCCTCGTTACGGCATCCCCGCTGTCTTCAAACACTTCTCCCTGGCCTCGTCACCCTCTCCCTGGCCTATCGGCTCTTCTCCCCTGCCTCGTCACCCTCTCCCGTGGCCTTCGCACCTTGCTCGCCTGCCTCGTCACCCTCAAGCCCTGCTTCGCCCTTCTCCCTGCCTCGTCCACGCCTCTCCTGCCCTTCGCCTTCTCCCTGCCTCGTGCACCGCTGAGCCTGCCCTCGCCCCCCCCCCCTTCTCCGCTGGCCTCGTGCACCTCTCCCTGCCCTCGCCTTCTCGGCCTTGCTCGTCACCCTCCCCCTGCCTTCGCCCTTCTCCCTGCCTCGTCACCCTCCCCCTGCCTTCGCCCTTCTCCCTGCCTCGTCACCCTCTCCCTGCCATTTCTTCGCCTTCTCCCTGCCTGCGTCACCCTCATCCCTGCCCTGCCCTTCTCCTGCTGCGTCACCCTCCCGCTGCTTCGCCGCTTCTCCCTGCCATGCGTCAACCCTCTTCCCCGTGCCCTGCGCCTTCTCGCCTGCCTCGTCACGGCCTCCCCTGGGCCTTCGGCCCTTCTCGCCTGCCTCGTCACCGCGATTCTCCGCTGCCTCGCCCTTCACCCTGCTTCCGCATTCTCGCACTTCGCCTCGCCTCGTCGTGCAGCCGATACGAATTTCCAACAGAATTTCCAGATGGTTCGGCACTCTCTCTTTTGAAAAGCCCCCCACGCGCGCGCACAAAACAACGCACACAACGCACCGATCGATATACCGCGGGCAAAAAACAACGGAGAGAGAGGGAGGGGTTGTGAGAGAGCAGTGGAGAGAGAGGAAAGAGAGAGAGGGGGGAAGAGAAAACGAAAGAAAGGAGAGAGAGAGGAGAGAGAGAGGCCGTATAGAGAAGTAGAGAGGGAGAGAGGAGAAAAAGAGAGAAAGCGAGGGAGAGAGAGAGAGAGAGAGAGAGAGAGAGAGAGAGAGAGAGAGAGAGAGAAAGAAAGAGAAAGAAAAAGCCGTGGGAGGAGAGATCGTATGTTTCGCGAGCGACTGCAATAATTCGTGCGCATGTGCAAGGGCATTGCGTGAACATTAAGTTGAATTTGATGACGTGGCGGGCACGCCTTCCTGTGCTGTGGCGACGCGAAACCGACGGAAAATTCCAAGGCGCGAGTTAAATGTCCAACGTGCATTACAGCACAGAACACCACACACACACGGACACACAGTGACACGTACGCAGCCACGCACATAACACGCACACGGACACACGCACAGTACGCACGACGGCAACGACGCACATGTACAAAATAAAACACGACGCACCTTATTTTTCTCTCTGTATGTGTCCGCTCTCTGGCTATCCTATTTATGTCTTCTGCTCTTTCTCGTCTGCTCCTCTCTCCCTCTCTCTCTCTCTCTATGCCTTTTATGTCTATCTCCATCTTTATCTCTCTCTCCTCTCCCATCCTCTCGGTTCTCTCTTTTCTCATCATCTCAGCTGCTCTCTCATCTTTCTCATCACTTCTCTCGCTCCGCTCTTCTCGCTCGCTCGCTCTCTCTGCTCTGCTCTCCTCCTCTATCATCTCTCTCTCTCTCTCTGCTCGTTTCTCTCTTCTCTCTCTCTCGTCTCTCTCCCGGCTGGTAGCCGCTCTCTCTCGTCATGCTCTATCCTTTTTATGGGTCTATCTCTCTTTGCTCGTCTCTCTCGTCTCTCCTCTCTCTCTCTCGTCTTTCTCTCTCTAGAGCTCTCTCTCTCTTTTCTCTCAACTCTCTTCCTCGGCGCTTCGCTCGCCGATCGCGTTCGCTCGCTCTCTCTCTCGTCCTCTCTCTCTCTCTCTCCTCTTCGATCATCTCTGCGTCAGGTCTGCTCTCTCTTTCTCTCTCTCCATCTCGTTCTCTCTCTCCATCCGCTCTCTCTCTCTCCCCCCTCTCTCTCTCTCTTCCCTCTTTATCCCTTCATTCTTCATCCAATCTATTATATCCATTTATTCCATTCTCCATCCATCTTTATTAAGACTAGATTTGCAAAAAACGCGTGAACGTCGCTACGTTCCGCTACGTACGGGTTGCTCGTGCTGCCACCTATATCGCAGTGGCATCTAGCTATCATGAATCATGTTGAATCTGCATGGGTGCATGAGAATAAAGCAGGCAGTTTCCACCCAGCGATGCATGGATATTTTCTCCTCCTCCTCGCCCCAGACTCGTGCTTGTCCGCTACAGATTTATGTGCTTATTTCCGCATTTGATAGTGAGTGGTTCGGTTCGAGCCGCGTATGAAGCAGATTGTTAGGATATCAACAACGCGCATGTTTACTCCACGCGCCTATAGCAGTGTGAACACTGTATACGCTGTATATTTCGCGGTGGTTTAATTTTCGCGAAGTTCGCGAACGCGACCGCGAAAATAACAACACGCGAATAATTCATACCGAATAATTCATACCGAATAATTAATAATTCACCGACCACGAAATTAACCGCTCGCGAAATACTCCGTCAAGTCTGAATCCGCGAAAATATCTGTACTCGAAAAATATAGCGTATATACAGTATACAGCCGGGACGTATCGTAGTCGAACATGCGAACAACCATCAACAAAAGTCTCGTCTGCAGTCTCTCGCGCGCAGCACTAACACATAGTGCTGTCACTGCGATTCAAACTCCGCCGTGAAGATCTCATGTATAATGAAGAGACGCGCGTTAGCGGGCATGCATTTTTCCGGGCGTGCGTGCGTGTGTGTACGTGTGTGTGTGTGTGTGTGTGTGCGTGCGTGTGTGTGCGTGTGTGTGTGTGTACGTCTGTCAGCATACAGAATGTCTCGCTAACATGACATGGCGCTGCGTGCGTGCGTGCGTGCGTGCGTGAATGCGTGCGTGTGCGTGTGCGTGCGCGTGTGTGTATGTGTACGTCTGTCAGCATACCGAATGTCTCGCTTACCTGACATGGCGCTGCGTGCGGGCGTGCGTGCGTGCATGCGTGTGCGTGTGCGTGCGCGCGTGTGTGTGTGTGTACGTCTGTCAGCATACAGAATGTCTCGCTTACCTGACATGGCGCAGCGTGCAGACCGGGCGGGAATCAGCGATCAATGAAATGAAATGACTCGTGATTAACTCGCTCCTTTCATCTCCTCGCAGCGTCCTCCGTGCTCGTGTGGCTTCAGTCTTCATCTCGGTGGTACACGCTGTGGGTAAAAACACACAGTCTTGATAAATATCATCATCATTATAATCACCACCATCATCATCATCATTATCATCATCATCACCATCATCATCATCATCATCATCATTATCATCATCATTATCATCATCATCATCATCATCACCATCTTCATCATCATCATCATTATCACCATCTTCATCATCATCATCATTATCATCATCATCATTATCATCATCATCATCATCATCACCATCACCATCTTCATCACCATCATCATCATCATCATCATCACCATCATCATCTTCATCATAATCGTCATCATCATCGTCGTCGTCGTCCTCGCCATCGTCATCGTCATCTGCATCTCGCCATACACGTGTAAACATCGGTGCGATGTTGCGATGCCATACCTGCAGTGCTCACTATACGGATACTACACTCACAGTAGAATAATTCTCTAGCTTAGCCAGGCGACATGACTGCCCCGTGCGGGTGCGCGTTTGTGTGTGTGTGTGTGTGTGTGTGTGTGTGTGTGTGTGTGTGTGTGTGTGTGTGTGTGTGTGTGTGTGTGTGTGTCGTGTGTGTGTGTGTGTGTGTGTGTGTGTGTGTGTGTGTGTGTGTGTGTGTGTGTTGTGTGGTGTGTGTGTGTGTCGTCGTAC